CTTAATTTGGTGTTGTTCTGAGTCTTTGTTAATTTTTGGTGATTTTTTGTTTTTTCTCTCATTGAACTCTATTGAACTGTCCGTCCAATGCATTTCAATGAGAGAAAAAACAAAAAATCACCAAAAATTAACAAAGACTCAGAACAACACCAAATTAAGTTTGCGTAGGTTTCAGGATGTGGGCTAACGATGTCAAGCATTTAAAACACTTTTCAAACAGTTTAAGGCACTTTTACAGGAGCGAAAAGGGACTTCGCAAACCCATTCAAATGCATTGAGTCGGCTTCAATGCATTTCAATTGGGGAACCGCGTTTCCCTCAACGATGTTTCCTGTGGGGATTTTCGCTTAAGGACGGCAATCCGTTCCAATTGGAACGGATTAACCGGTTTTCAATGCATTCCTATGGGAAATGGTGTTTCACAGAACGATGTTTCACAGAACGGTTTTTTTTTTGAACCAATTAACATCGTTGTGCGAGGCACCACTGTACCTCCTTGCATAGAGTTAGGTCTCAATTAAAAGCTTGAAACATAAGACTGGGGAATACTCTGCTATTTTTTCTGTAGTTATCACTGTGACAGATTTTCTTAGCCTGATCTCAATGTCTGTCACCTAATAGCAGATATTGAGAAACATTTCTGAGATAAATAGAGGAGCAAGCTGTTCTGCTATGTGATGAATCAATCTTTGTGTCTTTCTCATTTCATGAATCTAGCCATGGTATGTTAAGGCATAAGCGGTTTTCTACAATCAGTAATGTTTACACCCTCTTCTCCAGCTCTGTACCATCAGGAGGAATTCTGAAGCATGCTTCAGGTGAACGATAAAGCAGTAAGCAATTTGTTTAGAGTTGTTAAGATCCATTAGTAAGGATAGTGATTCCAACTTTTTCAATAGCCTCAGAATAATGCAACAATGCTTACTCATGTTTTTCAGTGTGGGAGTTTCTCTCTAAAGACGCTGATGTCTTTTTTGTTGGAGAAATCTCACAAGAATGTACTTAATGCTGAAATATTACTATAGTCCTGGAAAAGAAGTACCAAAAGTAGACATAACCAGCTAGTTGAGAGTAGAGTTGAGTTTTATTGTACCACTGGCATTTTGGGCCAAGAGCACTTTGTGGGGCTTTCCTCTCACAAGGTGACAGGAAGCCTTCTCCTCTCTGTTATTCTTGGGCAGTGAAGAGAAGCTGCCCTGTCTTGAAATCATGTGCCCTGAAGCTGCATTGCGTTTGTGGGCCAGGGCTGTTGAGGTTTGGGTCAGCTCCCAGCAACTTTTAGCACAACATAGTTGCAACATCTGCCTCACAAGCATGCTGTGCCATGTGGGTGGGTGGTGGAAGAGACTGCCCAGCAGCACAAGGCCAAGAGTGGGAAACACTGGCTTCCCCACCATCCAAGCTCCAGTGTTTGGTTTCAGCAGTTCAGGAAGTCCAGTGCAGATTCCGGGATGGGGGAACATAACTCAAGAATGCCTTTAAGGGAGAAAAGGAAACATCCCAGTGCTGGAGGAAGCAGAGTCCAGGAAGTGAATGCAAAACACTGATAAGCAGTTTCAAAGCTCCCTCCTAGGTCTCCTCCCTTCCCAGCATCTGCGTTTTGGTGGCAAACACAACAGAAATACAGTGGTGCTCCGCATGATGACGACCCCACTAAACGACAAATCCGCTGGACAATGACTTTTTTGTGATCGCTATAGTGATCGCAAAATGATGTTTCCTATGGGGGATTTTCTTCCTTTAAATAGATGAGCAACTCTCTAGCTAATCAATTAAAATTTGTTCCAGATATTATATCTCCCTAGATACTTTGATTTAGTTTAACTTGGAATTGGAAGAATTAATGGGCAAAATATGTTTCCTAATATATTTTAGGAAAAATAAGATTTGTATTAAAAAGTTGGAAAAATCCCTTTTTGAAAAATATGTTGCAAATCTGGATTAAACACAGTCATGTAATTTCCCTGTTAATTTCATTTTTAATTTCATTAGCTGAATTAGAGGAGTTTCCAGAAAATTTGAAAGGGATTTTGCAGAATTTATTCAAAAGGAAACCTGTATATAGATTAAAAGACTGGTTGGAATAAATGAATTCTAAAGAAAAAAAATAAGGATAATTTAGCAGATGAGAAGATAAAATGGATTACAGTGGTACCTCGCAAGACGATGACCCCGCTAAATGACGAATCCGCATAATGATGACTTTTTGTGATCGCTATAGCAATTCGCAAAACAGTCATTCCAATGGGGGATTTTCACTCGACGTTGATTAGGTCTGTGCTTTGTGAACCATTTGTCCGCAAGAGGACGATTTTTCCAGCTCTGCAAAATGGCTGCCCTGTGTTTTCCGGACCCACGCTTCACAGGGCAGCCATTTTAACAGCTGATCGGCGCTCGTAAAATGGCTTCCCTATGGGCGATCTTCGCTGGACAACGAGGTAATTTCCCCATTGGAACACATTAAATGAGT